GATCACATGGAAAAAAAAAAAAAGAAAAAAAGACCACATGAGATAATTATAGAGAGTCCCTAGTACAGAGACCGACAGAGTCGGACACACAGCAATCAGCCAACGAATGGGAAAGAAATAATTCAAGTACCAAGACATGGAAGAAAGAAGGTTGGAATTAAGAATGAGATTCTGCTCATCCCAGGAACATATTCTCCCCCCTACAAACGTTTCAGTAAAAGCTGCCGTGACATCACCCACAATCTCCTATTTCAGAAAGCCCAGAAAGCCTCGTGGACACATTCCCATTGTCCTCTTGTCAAAAGTGAGAATAAACAGACCACATCTGCAAATAAGAGCACCGAGGGAATGGTGAATGCGTAACTCGACCCAATTCCTGGACTGAGACCATGTCACCGAGAAACAAAACCCGGGTCCCCACTAACACCCCCCTCCCTCTTCGGCCTCTGCACACCCTTCCCAAACGCTTCCCCTTCCCGCCTGGAAAGGACACCTTCACCCGGCAAAGTGCGAGGCGCACGGGAGCCCCGCCGCGCGGCCCTCGGGCCTCCCGGACCTCCAGCTGCCGCCCTCGCCCGCCCCGCCAGGCCCGCAGCACGGGGGAGGAGGGGGCCCGAGGAGCCAGGCACCGGGTGGAAGGAGTGCGCGGCCGCCCCGCGGCGCCACACCCACCGGCCGCCACCCTCGGCATCTCCGCCTCGCCCTCCCGACTCCTGGAAACCCCGGGGACCTGCCCTCCCGTGCGGCGCCCCCACCCCGCCGTCGGCCCCTTCTAGGACTGCGCCCCGCGGCCGCGGCTCGCGCACCCGAGACCTGCAGTAATCGCTGCTCTCGGACCAGCTGCTGCGCTCACTCCGCTTGGTCCCGTTGCCCGCTGCCCGCCTCCGCCGCCACCTCACCCCCAGCGCTGCGGCCAGGGTTTCCGGGCGCCCACGTGACCCGCGCGGTCCCCGTGGCATGTTGGGAGTTGTAGTCTGACCGCGAAGGCCGGGGGGACTGGGTTGGCGGGGGCTGTTCCTAGCAGCGGCGGAGGTCTCTGTGGACCCCGCTGCTGGGCGGAGCTGGGACAGGGGGTTGGGGCGGGGCGCAGCGGGGGCGGCGGTCGGGGGAGCAGTATATGGTCCAGGAATGTTAGGGGAAAAAGCAGTGAAGGAGAGAGAACATATAATTTGTTTGTTTGTTTGTTTGTTTGTTTGTTTTTTTATTAGTTAAGGTATTACAAATGTGTCCTCATCCCCCCCATTAACCCCCAACCTCCCCCCCCACACACAAACTCATGCTCCCATCCCCCTGTTGTCCATGTCCATTGGTTTGGCTTATATACATGTATACAAGTCCTTCGGTTGATCTCTTCCCCTTACCCCCGCCCTCCCCATATAATTTGATATGATGTATACATCACCTTTTTTTCAAAAAGCTTTATCGCTCTTTCTTTTTATAGAAAGCAACGTGTTGCTAAGTGTGCTACTAACCTGCCACGAAGGCATAAGCTTTAGATTGTTTAAATACAGTTGCCCATAGTCTACCAGTATCATTCACTGTTCTATGTCGCACCCCACCTACTCAAATAAATCAATGTTCTGGTCCTGGAGGCCTCAAGCAAAAATTAAAGGTCTTACAACACTTAACTTTGAACAAGGAGCTCTGTCCTCCTGGGCTGCTTTCAAACTATTGGGGAAATATAATTAGGAGGAAAAAACAAAAAACTCCCAACCCAGAAGTCTTTCCACAAAAGTAATAGACTAGGAAACCGTTGTATTATTAAATAAACTTTAATCCAGAATGTGATGCACTTTACAAGCAATGCACTGAGATTGCAAAGATGGAAGGAATCTCCCCTTTATATAGCCAAGCCAAGACAACCCACTAAAAAGCATGCTCTCAAATGAGAGGATGTGACAAGGTCACACATCCTAACTTTATCAGGGAAACTGGGGAGACAAAACCTGTGTTGGCTTAACCAGAGGAGAAACAAATGTCCATACCTTTAGGACAGGAGATAGTCTTGCAGATTGGAGCAAGGTGCCCACAAAAGTTAGGCTGTTAAGCTGATGCCATTTTGGGCAGCCCATCTGGTTTGCAGATGATTTAATAAAATTATAATCCCTTAAAAAAAAGGTAGGCTCCTACCCTTACACAGGAACTGGGTATTAGGGACACTATCTTCCCGGTTGTTTGCATTTCAAAGATGGTTGCCAGGTCCTGGAGGAAACATTCCTAAACTGTGAGACTAGCCACAGGTTATTTAGCCATTATAAATATATACTGTACATGTATTTTAAACATACGCAGAAAGAAATTTTGAAAGAAAAGGGAGGAAGGGAATGTGTGCAATGCAGTAGTAGTTTTGTTTCTAGTCACCTAAGGGTGTATCTGGGGGAAATGTGGTATCAGCGTGAGCAACAATAAACCAGCCGAAGGTTTCACTTTTATTTTTAAAAAATACATAGTAGAATATTACTCACACACTTAAAAATGAATAAAATTCTGATACATGCTACAACATGGGTGAACTTTGAAAACATTATGCTAAGTGAAATAAGCCACACACAAAAACAAATATTGTTTGAGTCCATTTATGTGCGGTACCTAGAGTAATCAAATTCATAGGAACAAAAAGTAGAATAGTGGTTACCAGGGGCTGGGAGGAAGGGAAAATGGGATTACTGTTTAATGGATATAGAGTTTCTTTGGGGGGTAATGAAAAAGTTCTGGAGATGGATGGTGATGGTGATTGCACAAAAATGTGAATGTATGTCTTACTATTGAAAGGTACAGTTAATTAATTAATTTGTTGTTGTCAATCCTCACCCGAGGATATTTTTCCATTGATTTTTAGAGAGAGTGGGAGGGGGACAGACAGAGAGAGAGAAACATCGATGTGAGAGAGAAACATCAACTGGTTGCCTCCTGCCGGCACCCTGACCAGGGTCCAGATCGAGTCTGCCACTGAGGTACGTGCCCTTGACCGGAATCGAACCCGGGACCCTTCAGTCTGCGGGCTGATGCTCTATCCACTGAACCATACTGGCTAGGGCAGAATGATACCCTTAAAATGGTTAAAATGGTAAAATGTATAAATTGTGAAATACATGTGTATATACGTATATGTGTGTATATAAAGTAAGTATATAACCTGGCGGCCGCCACCATCCAGAAAGCCTTTTCCCCGTGGCCCAAGCTATGGTCTTTGCACTGATAGTCATACTGAGGGAGAAGGTCGGAGTAGGGAGAGGCCGAATCTCTCCTTGGCTTCCATAACCATCTGGACATTTTACCACCATTTGATGTTACTCTAGATGTTCTCCAAGTAGTCGGTCTGAGTCCGCTGACTTTTTTTTTTCTTTAACAGTAAGCATTACCGGGAGAAGAAAACATTTGATGGCTAATCTCATTGACATTGACATTTAATGGGCTTTCTTTCCTGCCCCCTGCCCATACATTTGTGGTGGGTCTTGACTAGGAACATTTCATTTCCTAGTCACATACCTATGACCATGGCTCTCAGCAGTCAGCTGCAGCAGCCTGTGGCAGGGTCTTTTGTTTTCTTGCTCTGCCTGCCAGCATTGGGGTTATTTTATTCAAAGGAGCAGTTCCCCACAATTTATCTGTAAGTGGAATCCGGAGCAAAATAAATCATATTTTAAAGATCATCTGAAGGAATCATGGGGGAAAGGCGCTGTTCGATATTGAATAAATTGTCCTCTGTTGCAGGGCTTCTCAATCTCTCTAGACCTCAGCCACAGAAGAAATGCATTTTCCCTCACCCCCTCCCCCGCCCCCCTATACACAGGCAGGTCTGCAACTGACCCGAACATTTCACAGAACAATCCTGAGCCTGATTACGTGAGATACATTCTGGAATTTTTTTTGCGAACTTCTTCTGTAAAAATGCTGGTTGCAACCCACTAAAGCTGATTTCAGGACTCGGGACTAGGTCTCAGCCCATGGTTTGAAAACACTATACCAATTTAAATATTTTATAAACAGGATGCCTCTGTTTTGCATATTGTACCTACACGGCTTAACTGCCAAATGTTACCTTCTCCACAGGGGAGAAAATCTAATCCTATGGTCTGAGAACCAGCGACCCTCCCAGGCTCCGCAGGGGGGAAACTAAGGAAAATTCACCCCGGCTTTGTCTCTTGTGCCAGCATCCGGGCCTGGTAAACCCTGTTTCCTCAGACCTAGAAATTACCTCTGTTCTGTGGTTGAGTATTTGAGGGAAAGAAACAAATGCTTTTTCAGCTCTTTCTTCCGTACAAATGCAAAGTTATTTTCGTTTTTTAATCTTCTCTTTGGAACACCTCCTTTCTCTTAGTGCAGCGGTAAGCCCATCCTGCATATCAGATACTTACATGACGATTCATAACAGTAGCAACATGACAGTGATGAAGTAGCAACGAAAATAATTTTATGGTTGGGTCAGAACATGAGGAACTGTATTTAAAGGGCCAGAAGGTTGAGAACCACTGTCTTAGAGGCTCCTCAAGAACAGTAATTCGAATCCACAAAACAATGCAAAGACTCAAGCCCCAGCTCTGTATCCTTTACATTGTATTCTCGCCACTGGAGCCCCCACCCCAGCCAAAGAAGGGACATCAGGAAAAACGGGGCGGGGGGTGGGGGGGTGGGGGTGGGGGCTGCATAAGAGGAAGTGAGTAGAAAGAAGGACCCGGGTGGTTTATAGGTATTGGCTCAGTTAACTGGCTTTGCAAGATGACGAGTGTTCGGACTCTGGGCGGCCAGTGCTGGCCAGCGCCTCACCTGTGCTTTGTGCCCAACGGCAGCTGCGGGCTCAGGGGCAGTGGGAGGGCTTCCACTTCCTTTCACTTTCTCGGGCAGCCAAACCTGGCACCTGGGGACAGAACTACAGTTCCCACCGCGCAGCGAGGCAGCAGGAAGAAGGGGCCCTGAGGGCTGAAAAGGAAAACAAGGAGAAAAAGAAAACCTTTCCCGCTTCCAGAAGTGAGAGAGCGCGACAGGTAGGCGACCGGTGACCCGGGAGGGTGGAGGCTACCGGATGCAGGATGGAGGGCGTCCCGGGCGGACACTGCGTTCTCCTAGCAGGACGTGCAGGTTGAGTAAAGGGGCTTTCGTGGAAATTCTGAGGACTTCCTGGGATGGGGTGGGGTGAGGCACAGAAGGAAGATTTCAGCTCAAGTTACGGTGATAAGACACGGAAGTGGAATGGCTTTCTTTATTTGAAAGGTCAGAGGGGAAACAAAGGGCTGCAGGTGTCCACCGTCTGCTGGATCATTGAGCCACAGGTGTTTTGGAGGCGAGAGAAGCATGGGGTTTCTATAGGCTGGATATCTGTGTGCATTTTAATTTGTGTAATGATATAAATTTGTCCTTTTCCATGACTTTAAAGAAAACCAAAAAGTACAGCTGGGGGGAAGTGAAGAAGGGAGCAACTTGCAGTGCAGCACATCAACTTTAATCATCCAATGGGGGTAGGTTTCATGTATTTTTATGAGGAAACCCAAGACGATAGTCTTTGAGGAACCGTTGAGGGCCTGAGGATATTTGCCTGCAGGGGATATGGTTGGCGCTCCAAATATCTGATGGGCTGGCATGTGGAATCGGAATCTGCCCAGTCCTGGCATAGCACGAGGGTCAACAGATGGAACCCTGGGAGATAGATTTCAACCCCAGGTAAGTTAGAGCTGTGCACACAGAATGGATTTTTGCAGGGGGTAGCGAGTTCCTCATGCTCAGTGATATTGAAGCGTAGGTGAGTCGTTGGGCAGACACGCGGAAGGTGAGAATAAAATGTCAGGCGCGTGATTGTGTGGATCAGTGTTTTCCAAGCCTGGCTGGGCAGGCATCAGAATCACCTGGCGGGTGCGTGCATGTATGTGTACACTGGGTTTTTTTTGTTTTGTTTTGTTTTTTTAAATATATTTTATTGATTTTTTACAGAGAGGAAGGGAGAAGGATTGAGAGTTAGAAACATCGATGAGAGAGAAACATTGATCAGCTGCCTCCTGCACACCCCCCACTGGGGATATACCCGCAACCAAGGTACATGCCCATGACCAGAATCAAACCTGGGACCCTTCAGTCCACAGGTCGATGCTCTATCCACTGAGCCAAACCGGTTAGGGCTGTACACGGGTTTTTAAATATCTTTAGCAGATCTGGGATGGGCTTGGGGAATATGTATTTTTAATTATCTCCCCAAATAATTTTGATATAATTAGTTAGTGTGGGAAACACTGTCATTTAGAAACTTTATTTTCCAGCTTATGGTGAAGTATGCCATAAACATCCCCACTACAGTTTTCTTTTTGGATTTTCTCAAAATCCTAATTTCCTCGTCAAGAAAAAGTAGGTGCGAGCCGGAAGAAGAGACCATGTCACTCTTCCCTAAACTGACTTCTCGGTCCGATCTTGTCAGTCCTTTGTAGCTGGTTGCCTGGACATTTGGAGTCCTTCCCACCACGTGAAAAGCTAGGCATGTCTATGAACTGAAGAATGGCAGGAAAACACTCCTGTGGGCATCTCCTCTGCCATCATCCTGCTGAGTGGGCACTCCATGGGGCACGGAGCCCCTGGTCTCAATGACCAGGATTTCCACCAATGCTGTCATCTGACTGTGATGACGGTGTAGCCCAGCAGAGAATGGCAGTAGGACCTCTTCATCCTGAGGGTACCCCTAAAGTAATGTCCACCCACCTAAGGCAGGTGTGAGCTTAGGGGGGCAGCTCTCTTGTACCTGATCGGTAATTAGTGTCCTTCAACCAATATTTTTATTGATTTCAGAGAGGAAGGGAGAGGGGAGAGAGAAACATCAATAATGAGAGAGAATCATTGATTGGCTGCCTCCTGCACGCCCCCTACTGGGGATCGAGCCTGCAACCCCAGCATGTGCCCTTGACCGGAATTGAACCCGGGACCCTTCAGTCCACAGGCCAACGCTCTATCCACTGAGCCAAACCAACCAGGGCCCAAGAGGATGTTAGTGCAATGAAAGCAACGATCTCCCCTGCCTTGTCTTGTCCTGGACCCCAAGTGCCTTGAACAGCGCCTGCGCCTGCGCTTGCGCCTGGTTGTGCTCACTAAAGAGACGCTGAACCCCTCCTTTTCTGCCCAGTTCCACTCTAGGGAGGCAGCGCCATGCAGTTCTCCAGCTCAGCCAGGGCAGCAGATGAGAACTTCGACTATTTGTTCAAGATCATCCTCATCGGGGACTCCAACGTGGGGAAGACCTGTGTGGTGCAGCATTTCAAATCCGGGGTCTACACGGAGACACAGCAGAACACGATCGGGGTGGACTTCACTGTGCGCTCCCTGGAGATCGACGGCAAGAAAGTGAAGGTCAGAGGGGCCTGGGGTTCGCTCCCCCTAGTTTAGCCAGAGTTCCTAACCCCGAAACACATGCCTGAGGAATAAAAGATTTGAATGTAAAACATGAAATCATAAACCTACCAGGAAAAAACATAGGTGTATTCAGTTTTATCGCTGTGGAATGAGGAAATTGGGCTTTGCAGTAAGACGAGAAACCCAGGATGTCTGTAACAGTGTCAACAATAAAAATAAAAAATAAATAATGTGAAAAAGACAAGAAGCCCAGAAGCCATAAGGGAAAATACTGCTCAATCTAACTATCTCAAGGTCAAATGTATATATTTCTATGTAACTATATAAAGGTAACATTTCTACATATTCAGAAACACTCTGAACCAAGTCAAAAGATGAATGACACTTGGAAAGAAATATTTGCATATATGGGACTTGACAAATGGCTAATTGCTTTAGCGTGAAAAGAGCCCTGATAAATAGCTAAGAAAAAAAGCTAAATAGCCAAGCACACACAAAAAAGTAGGCTATTCACAGACTGAACAAAACTGCTGTTTCACAAATTGTATAAGAATGAGCTCATACATTTATGTAAAGGTGCCCATCCGCATTCATAATTAAATAAACAATAAGCTAATGGTGAGATTCTGTCTTTTACCCATTTGATTAGAAAAGATTGAAAAGTGTGGGTAAAAATGTAATAAATGGATCTTGTTTGGGATCCTGATTTTGTAAAAATACATTTTGGAGACAATTAGGAAAATGTTCATATGGACTGGGCATTAAATAATATCAAGGAGTTATCAAAAAGTTTATTAGTGGCCGGAACTGGTTTGGCTCAGTGGATAGAGCGTCAGCCTGCGGACTGAAGGGTCCCAGGTTCGATTCCGGTCAGGGGCATGTGCCTGGGTTTCGGGCACATCCCCAGTGGGAGATGTGCAGGAGGCAGCTGATCGATGTTTCTCTCTCATCGATGTTTCTAACTCTCTATATCTCTCCCTTCCTCTCTGTAAAAAATCAATAAAATATATTTTAAAAAAAAAAGTTTATTAGTGATAATGGCATTGTGTTTATGAAAGAAAATGTCCGTTTTTATAGGGATGTACATCAATGTGTAAGTAGGGATGAAATGACATGAAGTCTGGGATTTGCTTTAAAATAATACCTCAGTGCCCTAACTGGTTTGGCTCAGTGGATAGAGCGTCAGCCTGCAGACTGAAGGGTCCCAGGTTTGAGTCCGGTCAAGGCCATGTACCTTGGTTGCAGGCACATCCCCAGTAGGTGGTGTGCAGGAGGCAGCTGATCGATGTTTCTCTCTCGTGGATGTTTCTAACTCTCTATCTCTCTCCCTTCCTCTCTGTAAAAAATCAATAAAAAATATTTTTAAAATAATTATAAAATAATAATAATAATAATAATAATAATACCTCACTGACCTAAATCCTAGGAGTAGTTCTTCCTGGGCTTTGAATTGCAGTAACAGGTGTGAACATTCTAGAGGCAGTTAGATGATTATGTATGATACTGCAGACAAGAAAAATAAATAAAATAATACCTCAAAGAGCCCTGGCCGGGAGCTCAGTGGTTAGAGGGTTCAATTCCGGGTCAAGGGCATATACCTCGGTTGCAGATACAATCCCTGGCCCTGGTTGGGGCACATGTGGAAGTGCAGGAGGCAACCAGTCAATGTATCTCTCTCACATAGATGTTTCTCTCTCTCTTTCCCGCCCTCTTCCTTCCCTCCTCTTCACTCTTCTAAAAATCAATGAAAAAAATATCCTCAGATGAGAATTTAAAAACATTAAAGAATAAGGACAAAGAAATCAACAGAACAGGCTAGATGTAGCAAAAGTGGCAAAATCTTGATAATTATTGAATAACTAGAGGCCCGGTGCATGAAATTCATGCATGGGTAGGGTCCCTAGACCTGGCCTGCGATCAGGGCTGATCAGAGCCTTCTGGCTGCTAGCTGGGGCCTTCCTTCATTCCATGCTGCCCCCTGGTGGTCAGCGCACATTATAGTGAGCGAGTGATGTGTTTCCCGGTCGAACTCCCCTGTGGTCAATTTGCATATTAGGCTTTTATATATAGACTAGTGGCCCATTGCATGAAGAGATTCGTGCAATAGGCCTTCCCTTCCCCTGGCTGCCGGCACTGGTTTTCCTCCAGCACCCAGCACCCAGGCCTTCACTCTGGACAGAGCCTTCCGTCTTCGCGGCTCTGGAGCCTTCAGTCTTCACTCCGCCACTTCACCCCTATGTATGGAAATTAACCGCCATCTTTGTTGGGTTAATTTGCATACTCCTGATTGGCTAGTGAGCATAGCGGAGGGATGGTTAATTTACATGTTTGTCTATTATTAGGTAAGATTATGGAATCTGGAATGATAGGTATATGAGGGTTCATTGCTCTATTCTCTCTAGTCTTGTATGTTTGCAAACTTTATTTAAAAAATAAATTTTGTGCCTGGCTGGCATGGCTCAATGGTTAGGTGTCAACCTATGAACCAGGAGGTCACGGTTTAATTCCGGTCAGGGGACACGCCAGGTTGCAGGCTCAATCCCTAGTAGGGAATGTGCAGGAGGCAGCCAATCAATGATTCTCTTTCATCATTGATGTTTCTATCTCTCCTTCCTTCCCCTCTGAAATATTTTATTTATTTATTTTATTGATTTTTTAAAAAATATATTTTATTGATTTTTTACAGAGAGGAAGGGAAAGAGATAGAGAGTTAGAAACATCGATGAGAGAGAAACATCGATCAACTGCCTCCTGCACATCTTCCACTGGGGATGTGCCCGCAACCCAGGTACATGCCCTTGACCAGAATCAAACCTGGGACCTTTCAGTCTGCAGGCTATACATTTTATTGATTTTTTACAGAGAGGAAGGGAGAGAGAGAGTTAGAAACATCGATGAGAGAGAAACATCGATCAGCTGCCTCCTGCACATCTCCTACTGTGGATGTGCCCACAACCCAGGTACATGCCCTTGACCGGAATCAAACCTGGGACCTTTCAGTTCGCAGGCCGATGCTCTACCCACTGAGCCAAACCGGTTTCGGCTATTTTTAAATAAATAAATAATTTTGTAAATAATGTAAGTATATGAAGAAACAGGTACCCAAGACATTGGTATGTGTATAAATTGGCGCCATTGCTCAGGATGGTGGTTTAGGAGGTGATATTATGAGGATACTCCTGAACATAAACAGTGGAGTGGTCCTTGAAAATCAAAACAGTTCAGCCAACATTACTTCCTTTTCCAGTGTTAATAGCAATGGGCAGGGTCAAGAGATAAGGCCCCAAATCTGGAGGAAGGGATGATTGTGATGCAAAGGGGAAAGAACACCAGACCCCAGGACACTGGGTCCCACTCTCCGACTAAGCCTCCCGGAGGTGGTGGCTCCCAAGCCTGCGAGCCCGCCCAAATTACCCTGGGGCGCAACTGGAACAACAGACTCCTGCGCCCCAGCCCAGACCTCCTGAATTTGGATATCTCCAGGTAAAACCCAGGAAACTGCATTTTGCAGACAATCAGGGAGCAAGTCCCCATCGGCTGTGGGAGCTCCTGATGCCATCCCCTTTCCCGCCCGTCTCCAGATGCAGGTGTGGGACACCGCAGGCCAGGAGCGCTTCCGGACCATCACCCAGAGCTACTACCGCAGCGCCCACGCGGCCATCATCGCCTACGACCTGACCCGGCGGTCCACCTTTGAGTCCGTTCCTCACTGGATTCACGAGATAGAAAAATACGGAGCTGCGAACTTGGTCATTATGCTGATCGGTATGGAGTTTTCAAAGGGTTTAACTTTGTTTCATTAGCCCCCCTCTGCTGACACTCAGCTTTTTGCGTGTTTCCGGTGGCAGAGAAGCATGAAATCATAGAGTGCAAATGGTAAGAGGGCCTGGCCCAGAAATTCCATCAGGTTCACTTGGAAATGAGAGGGGGTGGTGTGAACTTGTTAAGAAAACAGATCCCAAGGCCCCACCCTAGAGTTTCTCATTCTGGAGACTTGCTCAGGATGGTGGTTTAGGAGGTGATATTATGAGGATACTCCTGAACATAAACAGTGGAGTGGTCCTTTAAAATCAAAACAGTTCAGACCTCTCCATGCAGGAGCCCCAGCTGGTTTGCTGCACAGTCTGTGCAGACCACACAGAAAGTACTCTGTAGGCTGAGGTTCCCAGGCAGTGGCCCCAAACCCCTGAGGGAGCCATTCAGATGAATGTAACTGACTCACCCAACACACACTTGAATGACTTCTTTTAAAAAAAAAAAAAAAAAGTTTTTATTGATTTTTGAGAGAGAGAGGAAGAGAGAAGCATCAATGGGCTGCCTCCTGCACGCCCCCTACTGGGGGTCGAGCCTGTAACCTGGGCATGTACCTTGACTAGGAATCAAAATGGTGACCTCTTAGCAGACTGGATGATGCCCAACCAACTGAGTCCCACCAGGGCTTGAATGACTTCTTATACCTGTTAAGACCCTAAGTGAATCTCAACACATCAACATCAAAACTAACAGGAACTTCAACTACACAAAGTGAACTTGCAGCTGGAAATGTGAGCCAGTCCTATTGTACATTCAGAGAGAAGTGTGAATGTTTCTGTTATTTCTCTAGTAGTGTTTTCGTTTTGCAGCCTTTTGGTGCACAGAATGATGCCCAACCAACTGAGCCACACTGCCCCAGTTCTTAATTGATTCTAGAAATGCCCCTAAAGATGACCTGGACATGTCCCCATCACCCCAGGGCTAATACAAGGGGGCTTTCTGTTTTCTGTCATTGGCCTCCGTGCCTTAATCTAGGAAAGTCAAATGTCTTGTTCCCTTATGGAAGTGTTCCTGTCCCTTTTACTATTTTTCCATTCTGTCTACCCCAGCCCCTGGCAGCCACTTCCCACCACACAAATGGCAAAGAGATGACTGTGCGTTGATTCCTACTGTTCCTCCCCCTCCAGCCACTCACAGGAAGCTCAGCTCCTTGGTGATGTGATGCCCCTTTGTTTAAAATCCTCACTGGTCCCCCATGGTCCCCCAGATAACACACAAATTCCTGAACCCGACTGACAAGGTTCCTGCTTTCTTCCGGAGATGGCTGACTGGCCTCGTATCTTTTTCTTGTCCCCCTCAGCTCTGTTCCTGACCTAACTCTTCAGACCTTCTATCAGAGTGAGGGGTCAAGAAGCCAACTTTCTTCTGTAGGTTATACTGGCTGCTCTGTCTCATAACTTTCTTCAGCATCTGCTATTTATCCCCTTAGGATCTTGGGCAAACCTTTCACTGAAATTCTTTTAATATATATAATTGATTTCAGAGAGGAAGGGAGAGAGAGAGTGCCAGAGTCCAACCCCAGCAGGTCCAGGGGTCCCCAAAGGTGTGGATGGAGTCGGCGAAGAAGGAATGATACAGAGACAGCGTTCAGCTGATCAGCAGCCTAGCCAGGCTCTCCAGCCAGGATCTCCAGCCAAGTTCTGGTCTGGATCTCCAGAGAGGTTCTGCCTAGGATCTCCAGCCAGGTTCTGTGTCCATGTTGTCTTGCTAGGTTCTCCAGGTTCTCCAGCCAGGTTCTGTAGCCATGTTCCCTCGCTAGGTTCTCCAGCCAGGTTCAGTCCAGGTTCTCCAGCCAGGTTCAGTCACCAGGTTCTAGTTAGGTTCTCTTGCCAATTTCTGTAGTCAGGTTCAGTCCAGGATCTTTTGCCATGTTCTCTCCAGCGAAGTTCTTCTGTCTCTAGAGAACGTTCTGTGTAGGTTCTGTGCCTAGGTTCTGTCTCTCCTGGTTCTGTATTCTAAGTTCTGTGTTCTAAGTTCTGTGTTCTAAGTTCTGGGTCTTGCTGTCTTGTTGCATCTGTATTTATACCAGTTGATTCAATCCTATCAATCTCTATTACAAAGGTTAGGGCGTTTCTTATCTTCATTCCAGGGAGTAAAGATTATGTAGCTTAAGCACGATTGTTCGTAGTTAAAGTGATTAATTACCCGCCTGGCACTTAGTTGAGGGGTTTTATTCCCTCCCTAACTTCAGGGGAAAATCCTTACCTGGGGAAACAACCTTTCTCAGAGACCTTGGTTAAAACACATAGTGCCAAGAAGGTGAGCAAACATATTAAGAACAGTATGCCATATATGCCAGGTCCCTTGAAACAGCAACGATGGACCGGCTCCCGGCAAGAGAGAGAGAGAGAGAGAAACATCAATGATGAGAATCATTGATCAGCTGCCTCCTGCACAACCCCTATGGGGAATTGAGCTCGAAACCTGAGCATGTGCCCTTGACCAGAATTGAACCTGGGACCCTTCAGTCCGCAGGCCGAAACTCTATCCACTGAGCCAAACCAGCTAGAGCCACTGAAATTCTTTTTTTTTTTTTTTTATTTTATTTTTTTTTTAAATTAAATCTTTATTGTTCAGATTATTACATTTGTTCCTCTTTTCCCCCCCCCATAACTCCCCTCCTCCCAGTTCCCGCCCCACCCTCCGCCCTCACTCCCCACCCACTGTCCTCATCCATAGGTGCACGATTTTTGTCCAGTCTCTTCCCGCATCTCCCACACCCCTTTCCCCCCCAGGAATAGTCAGTCCATTCCCTTTCTATGTCCCTGATTCTATTATAATCACCAGTTCATTCTGTTCATCAGATTATTTATTCACTTGATTCTTAGATTCACTTGTTGATAGATGCATATTTGTTGTTCATAATTTGTATCTTTACCTTTTTCTTCCTCTTCCTCTTCTTAAAGGATACCTTTCAGCATTTCATATAATCCTGGTTTGGTGGTGATGAACTCCTTTAGCTTTTCCTTATCTGTGAAGCTCTTTATCTGACCTTCAATTCTGAATGATAGCTTTGTTGGATAAAGTAATCTTGGTTGTAGGTTCTTGGTATTCATCACTTTGAATATTTCTTGCCACTCCCTTCTGGCCTGCAAAGTTTCTGTTGAGAAATCAGCTGACAGTCGTATGGGTATTCCCTTGTAGGTAACTGAGTTTCTTTCTCTTGCTGTTTTTAAGATTCTCTCTTTGTCTTTTGCTCTTGGCATTTTAATTATGATGTGTCTTGGTGTGATCCTCTTTGGATTCCTTTTGTTTGGGGTTCTCCGCGCTTCTTGGACCTGTAAGTCCATTTCTTTCACCAGGTGGGGGAAGTTTTCTGTCATTATTTCTTCAAATAGGTTTTCAATATCTTGCTCTCTCTCATCTTCTGGCACCCCTATAATTCTGATGTTGGTACGCTTGAAGCTGTCCCAGAGGCTCCTTACACTATCCTCACATTTTTGGATTCTTTTTTCATTTTGCTTTTCCGGTTGGGTGTTTTTTGCTTCCTCGCATTTCAAATCATTGACTTGATTCTTGCGCTCCTCTGGTCTGCTGTCGGGAGTCTGTATAATATTCTTTATTTCAGTCTGTGTATGCTTAATTTCTAGTTGGTCCCCCAATATAAGATCGAGGGTCTCATTAGTTTTCTTGTAGATCTCATTAAGTTTATCGGCGGCTTCTAAACAGTTCTTGAGAGACCTTAAAAGTGTGGTTCTGAACTCTATATCTTCCATTGACAATTTTGTCCTGTTTCTTTGTCTCCGCATTTTGTTATGCTTCCTTGGTGCACCCCCTAGTGGTCTTTGTTCGCAGTCTTGTAGTTAAATCTTGATTGTTGTAGCTAATTCCAGGGAGGGTTTGACCTCCAGGCCAAGTGGCTATGAGAATCAGCTGTGTCAGCAGTGAGAGAACTTCTGTCCTCTAGGGAGGTGCTAATCTAGCCTTTGCCTGAGGCTATCCGGCAAATGCCTGTGTGCAGGGCTTGGGCGGGGCGGGTCGCACAGGATCAACAGGGTGGGCCGGAGAGAGCAGTTATGGCGGCTCTCAGTCCTGTCCCCAGGGGCTCTGCCTCTCTGAGTCCCAGCACCCGCTGCAAAGCTCGGAGAGAAAGCTGCACTCGCTCTGACCGAAGCCAGACAGTCCCGCTTCTCCCGTTTGAGTCTGGGTCCCTAAAGACTCGCCCGGATCTGGAGCTCAGATTCTGCGACTCCCTCCCGATTGAAAACACCAACCGCGCCCTCCGCCGCCAGCCCGCTCCGCCCACTCCGCACCTCAGAACTTGACTTCAGCACTGCGCCTCCTCTGAGTGTCCGTATGCGTTTCTCTTTCCTCCTAGTTGTAGGACTTCCACTCAGCCAGCGTTCCTATGGTTCTGGGTGATGTCCGTTCCGTTTTTTGGTTTCACTTTTGAAGTAGTTGTTCAAAGCAGCAAACTCCGGCGTTAACCTATGCCGCCATCTTGGTTCTCCCCTGAAATTCTTTTACAGTTACACGTCTACAGTCTCTCAGTGAAAACCCTGAAGGCCAAAGATTTCAGAGTCCAGAATTTATTTATTTTTATATTTTTTATTGATTTTTTACAGGGAGGAAGGGAGAGGGATAGAGAGTTAGAATCATCGATGAGAGAGAAACATCGATCAGCTGCCTCCTGCACATCTCCTACTGGGGATGTGTCCGCAACCCAGGTACATGCCCTTGACCGGAATCAAACCTGGGACCTTTCAGTCCGCAGGCCGACGCTCTATCCACTGAGCCAAACCGGTTTCGGCAAGAGTCCAGAATTTATTGAATCTTAGGTGGGTGCATGCTATGTTACCTAACACCCTCAGGAGTTTCTGGGCCAACATCCCATGATCAAATGCATTAATATATATGCAGTGAAATATATGGTCATACAAAGAAGGTTGACTAAAAACTTCAAATGGCCAGTGCAGGGCAGATTTTACTGTCAGATAAATTACCAAAAAATGTAGGGGTTTCAGAGTTTTTTGGATTTGGGAAATGTGGATAAGGGATGGTACACCTGTAAGGTTAACAACGTGTACCATTCACCTGGTCCTTAGGATGTGTTGTTTCATGGCCTGTCTTAGATGGGCAAATTCTTATATAACTATTTTTTATTTTTTAAATGTTTTTTGTTGATTTTAGAGAGAGAGGGAGAGGGAAAGAGAGAGATCAATAGCAGCCTCCTGCACACACCCTACCAGGGACAAGCCCGCAACCTGGGCCTGTACCCTCACCTGGAATCTAACTGGCAAGCCCTCAGTGCATGGGACAATGCTCAACCAACTGAGCCACACTGGCCAGGGTATTTGGCTCGTTTTTATTTTATTTTATTTATTTTTACATATTTTTATTGCTCTCAGAGAGGAAGGGAGAGGAGAGACAGAAACGTCAATGATGACAGAGAATCATTGATCAGCTGCCTTTTGCACGCCCCACACTGGAGATCAAGCCCACAACCCAGGCATGTGCCCTTGCCCGGAATCGAACCTGGGACCCTTCAGTCCTCAGGTCGATGCTTTAGCCACTTGAGCCAATCCAGCTAGGGCCATTTGGCTCTTAAATTGTCCAAGTGTCTCTCTTGCCTCCCTAACAAGATGAAGAACCCCTTTCTCGGGGGCAGGGCCCATGCAACTCTGGTGTCCACACAGAACACTTAGCGAGCAAAGTCTCAAACTGCTGGAGCAAGCACATGTTTCTTTCCCTCCCACCAGGTGTCCTGGCTTGTCCTGAGGTGTGCAACCACCAGCTGTTGGGAGGCAGAACAGGGGACGGTCAGTTAACCAGGGGTGGCCCTGGGGCAGGTGGGAGGAGCAGTCAGAACCAGTGCAAGCAGCCCAGAAGCCACAGGTCAGGGTGAGGGGTGGCCGAGACTCCTGGCTCAGGATTCCTACTCTGGAAGCATCCCTGTCCCAACCAAGGGACTCTCACACCTTTCCTCTAGAAGCAGGGCTATGCCCTGAACTTAAACCTCACACGCTATAAAAACGCGTAGTTTTCTTGAAGCTACATACCTGAGTTAGTTTCCTGTAGCTGCGAATTACCATCAACTGAGTACCTCCTTGTGAAAACAACAGAAGCGTGGTCTCACTCCGTTCTGGAGGCCAGAAATCTGGGATCGGAATCCCTGGGCAGAAATCACGGTGTCGGCAGGACCATGCTCCTCTGGAGGCTCTCAGGGGGAATCCGTTCCTTGTCTCCTCCATGGCTGTCAGTGTTCTGGGCTCGAGGCTCCCTCTGATTTCTCATCACCTCCTGTGTGTGTGTACTCAAGTCTCCCTCTATCTCCTTCATGCAAGACTACACATGATTGCACTTAGGGCCCACCCAGCTAATCCAGAATTATCTCTAGGGCTCAAGATTCTTAACTTAATCATATCTGCAAATATTTTTGCAGATAAAGTAACATTTACAACTCCCAGGGGGTAGAACCATGTGTCTTAGGGACCATTTGCCGGCCTACCACAGTCCCAGGAAGGGTAATAGCCCTTGGATTTAACCTTATTTGGGGAGAATTATGATAAAAATCTAGCTTTGTCAATGACCAGGCTGGTGCCTATGATGCCGAGTATTTTTTCTTTATCTTTTCTTTTTTCCCCATCACCATTTATTCCCCTTATACCTTCTTCCACCTCCCCCGTCCTCCCTCACAATCACCACACTGTTGTCCATGTCCACGAGTTCCCTTTTTTTCCTTTTTGCTCAATCCATCCACCTCACTGAACACCGCCCTCCCACCACAACAGATCTGTCTGCCGACTCTCTAGGAGAAAGTATTTTTTCAATCTTTTTTATTGGGAAATAATGCATAGAGAGAAAAGTATGCAAACACTGATATATCACAAGGGGAACGCTTGTGTAAACACCACCTGGGTCAAGAAAGAATGCACCCTGCCCCCCAGCTCCCCTTCCTGTCCCTCCCAATTGCCTCATCTTCTCCCCCAAAGTAACCCCATCATGGCTTTTATGACATCGCCCCATTTTCTTTATCAGCCGTTCTACTTTGCTATTGTTTTTGAACCTTCTATAAATGTCATTGTACTGAGCGTTGTTTTGTCTAAGCTTCTTTCCCTCAACATTACTTTCATTTCTCCCTTCTGTTGGTGATGGACATTCGAGTTGTTTTCAGTTGGGACAATTAGGAAAATTGCTGCTCTGAAGGCTCTTGTATGTGTATGGATGCACATGGGCTCCTACTTCCCTTGGGTACATACCTGAGAGCAGAACTGCATGGTCTTGCAATGGTCTCACTCTAGTGGACAATCTCAAACCACTTGCATACTTGGTACACATTCATCAAGACCCACTGAGTGTGCAGTCTGTGCATTTTGTTGTATGCAAGTTACAACTAACAAAATAAGTCCTTCATTATACATTCCACAGCTTCAACCCAAGAAATCCTGACAAGTTCCAGCTCGACCAGGTTCTATCTCGGTGTCCAACACTTTGTAGTTAGGGAGAAAGAGGAACGAGATCTGAAGGGAGAAGAGAGAAGCAAGAGGGAATCGCTCTGGCACCTTCTTACCTTGTCACACGTAGGAGAGACGGCCCCTCCCAAGAATACGGAGGCTCCACCTGTCCCAGCCAATAACGTGCACCTCTGGTCCATTCCTCACAGCTCTTAAAGATCTTAAGAACAGTGAATTAAGACAGTGGCTCTGTTTCCATTCATCTGTGGTTTCATTTTCATTAAATTTGGCCTCAATTACTATTTGGAAAGAAGTGCATGCATGCATATTGCTGAACTAAGATGTTCTTTCTAAAGCTCATTTTTAAAAAATCAGATTAAGTTACTCAATGCAATATTTGCTTCTCTCTCACTCCCAGGGAACAAATGTGACCTGTGGGAGAAACGGCATGTTCTGTTCGAGGATGCCTGCACGCTGGCTGAGAAATACGGCCTCCTTGCTGTTTTGGAGACATCAGCTAAGGAGTCCAAGAACATAGACGAAGTCTTCGTGCTCATGGCCAGGGAGCTGATCGCCCGCAACAGCCTGCAGCTGTATGGGGACGGCGCCCTGAACCACCTGCCCCTGGACACCAGTCCAGTCCTTATGGCCCAGGTGCCAAGTGAAAAGACCCACTGCACTTGCTGAGTGTGGTCATCCAGCCAATAGCACCCGCCAGAGGGCATCGCTAAACCAAAGGTGGTGGGTCTTCTAGTGTCTGCTGAGTAGCATTTCAGACCCAAGTGTAGACTTGCCACTAGTTCTCAATCCTGGGTTCAGACCAGAGGCCACAACAGCTGACTCTGAGGCCAGGGGATACCACTGTCCTTTCCGATTTTGCTTTGGACCTAAAGGCACAGGGTTAGGAGGACAAGGTTTGCTCTTTTTCATCTCTTTTCTGTCTCCCCAACCCTTCAACTATGTTTCCACTGACTTTTGCTTCTCACTTGAAGAAGAGGGTAGTGAGGAAAGATCAAAGAGGGGCGAGGATGCTTGGAACACTCCGGAACAGTTTAAAACAGCTTGGTCATGGGCGGATGAGAAAAAAGCTTGCAGTGATAAGCCAGAATGCCGTTAACATTTGCTTCCTGACAGTCACACCTCAGGGTTTTAGTTTGGGGAGCAAAGCCTTTTGATATAAAGACCATAAATACCTCTTGCCAAATGGTCAGGAGCCATGTGATGGAGACAGAACTGGATTTCACTTCATTCTATTTGGGCTGATGTGGGAGACATCTACAGTTCCTTTCCAAAATACCACATTGGCTGCTGGATCAGAAGGCATTTCTGAATAGTAATTAATTTAGCTCACAGATGAATAGCAAACCAATATTGACCTCACAGTATGGCCCTGGGCACACCATGTACCTGTAACACACTGTGGTTTTTCCAAGTTCCCCCGATGGTTGTTGCTGAACTGCATCTTACAGTCACAGTAAGAACCACAAAGGCCTGTCCAGCCACATCAGCTCCAAAAAGGGCAATGTCTCTGGGAGCTCTCCCCGGGGCCAGGTGAGTGCCCACAGGCATTTCTCATCGATAGCAGCACAATCGATAGGCTGAGCCCTACCTTCACGTGTGGCTACTGAGTGCTTGAAGAGAGGCTGAGCAGGACACGCCATTAATGGCTCACACCAATTTCCCTTCATTTCTCTGCACATCGGTCTCAACCAACACTGAAAACCTCATCAGCATCTAGGGTAATGCACTCAGGATTACCTGGAATTGAAATGTTCCTACCAACAGGTTAGACATGTGAAAACGGGGTCGCCTGAATGCCAGGAGCCTGTGATTAGCCACCTGGGCTTCTGTTGAAATGATGGGGCTGTGACAGAAACCCTCGAGGACACGGAAAGGGCCCGGTGTGGAGCAGCTTCACTGGATTCGGGCGCCCGAAGGTCGGCTCCAAAGAGGCAAGGCTTTTCCCGAAGCTGAGCGGTCTGGTTACCTGGCCTGGGAACCAGCTCAGGCAGGCTCCTCTCTGTAGCTGTGGTCTCAGAAAGCTACATGTTAGCTCAGTTCTGGCATCTTTCTCACACTCCCAAAGCTGTGTCGTTGGTAACAAGTTATGTGAAATTAAGTTACAAAAGAGACATTTCAGAAGAATAAAAAGATTGTGTCTCCATATTTTGTTCGCCAGTGTCAAGTACATTTCCATGTATGCAAAAATCTGTTATTTCATTGTTCACAGACTGTTCCTGAACCTCTTCCCCACTCTATTACTAGTAGTAATAGGAATCTATTTCTATATATATAAGAAGCTAATATTTAAAGTGTTCCAATGGGAGTTTGACTTGGAGTTCTATTGCTCACTATGATATGCGCTGACCACCAGAGGGCAGCGCAGAACAAAGGAAGGCCCTGGCCTGCAGCCAGCAGCCAGGAAAGGGAGGCCCCAGTGAGCAGCCAGAAGGCCCCAATCGGCCCTGATCGCTGGCCAGGCCTAGGGACCCTACCCGTGCATGAATTTCATGCACCGGGTCTCTAGTACAGTATATAAAAGGCTAAGTGACTGGTAGTTATGACGCGCACTGACCACCAGGGGGCAGACGCTCAATGCAGGAGCTGTTGAGTGACAGCAACTTTGCAGAGTGCCCTCTTGCACTCCGGGACCCCTTGGGGGATGTCAGACTGCCCGGTTTCAGCCTGATCCCCATAGGCCAGGCCGAGGGACCCCACCAGTGCACAAAAACATGCACCAGGCCTCTAGTATTACTATAATGGTATTAATAAAGACAAACAATTACTATATATGCCCAGCACTGAACCAAACACATTTATACTAACTCAATGAATCTTGTCAACTATCTTTGAAGTGGGAGATATTTTTAATTCCTAATTTTAAAATGAAGATACAAGTCCTGGCCAGTGTGACTCAGTTGGTTGAGCATTGTCCTGTGCACCAAAAGGTCCCGGCTTGATTCCTGGTCAAAGCACTTGCCAAGATTGTAGGTTTGGTCCCCAGTTGGGGTACTGATGTCTCTCTCTCTCCCACTCCCTTCTTCTAAAATCAATAAAAACATATCCACTGACTGGTTTGGCTCAGTGGATAGAGCATCGGCCTGTGGACTGAAAGGTCCCAAGTTCGATTCTGGTCAAGGGCATGTACCTTGGTTGCAGGCACATCCCCAGTAGGGAGTATGCAGGAGGCAGCTGATCAATGTTTCTCTCTCATCGATGTTTCTAACTCTCTATCCCTCTCCCTTCCTCTCTGCAAAAAAATCAATAAAAATATTAAAAAACAAAACATATGATACAGAGAGAGTAAGGTCAGTCACACAACTAGGAGGTGGCAGAGCCAGGATCCAAACCCAAGCAACTTGGTTCCAGAGCTCACTTTTTTAAAATTTGAATTTATTGAGGAAAACATCAGTTAATACAGAGCCCATTTTTTTTGTTGTTGTTAGTCCGCACCGGAGGATATTTTTTCCATTTTTTTTTTTTTAAGAAGGTGTGGAAGGGGGGGAGGTGAGAAAAACATCAATGTAAGAGATACATCGATTGGTTGCCTCCTGCATGAACCCTGAGTGGGGCCAGGATGGAACCTGCAACGCAGGTGTGACATTGATTGGAAATCGAACCCGTGACCCCTTGGTGTGAGGGCTGACACTAACCACTAAACATACCAGCCAGGGCCAGGGCCCAGGCCCACTCTTATTATGCTACACTCCCTCTCAGATCAGATTTGGGTTCTATCATGTTAACCCCTCATCCTCCTCCACACACAAATGCACACAAAGAGAGAAACATATTCATTACAAGATATGCTCACACATACATTTCAGCATCATAAACGCTGAAGGGCAGCCCTGGCTGGTTTGGCTCAGTGGATAGAGCATCAGCCTGCGGACTGAAGGATCCCAGATTCGATTCCAGTCAAGGGTACATGTGTGGGTTGTGGGCTCAATCCCCAATAGGGGTCATGCAGGAGGCAGCCGCTCAATGATTCTCATCACTGATGTTTCTCTCTCCCTTCCTCTCTGAAATCAATAAAAATATATTTTTTTAAAAAAAGCTGAAGGGCATAAGACACAGTAGGAGGTGGTAATATTAGGCTAGACCTATCAAATATAGAGCAGGGTCTGAAATATGCCAAGCCCAGCCTGAGTTCACTTCTGTTTAACATGGATGTGGAGTCGCCAGCTCACTCATGTGCACGGTTGCATGGGTGACCCGAGGCAAACCAGGCTGGGTTCTATCAGCCACTCCAGCACAAGGCTCAGATGGAAAGGATGGGGAAGAACTCAGCAAAGCAAGCACACATCAGTGCTCCCTGCAGGCAGTGTGCAAGCCTCCAGGGATGGAGCATTTCAGAGGATTCACATCAAAGGCGTAATAGTGCCTGCTTCAATTTTTCATTTTCAAATATGTCATCTATTCAAGAGCCTGTGCTCAATTACTGAGTAACGCTGGCAAGATACACCTAGTTGGTTTGCCATTCAGTAGAAAATTGCCAGCTACTAAGGTGGTTTTGACCTCAGATAGCTTCTTTTGTGTTTATTTTTAATACATTGTTTAATTTATAGCCAGAAATAATTGCTAAAGACTGGAAGCACCAGGAATGCTGAAATGAAAGTGAAAGCACAGAAGAGATATAATTCTGCAAAATCATCCAAAGATCGCTCTTCACCTGGCATATAATCTGCACTTACTTATTATCACCTGCATTTACTTATTCTTATATACAGTGTATCAAGATGGCTCTAGAACTTGAAAGACCAACATTTGACCTGTGTAGCTTGGTTGGGCTCGTCCCATGTACTGAAAGGGTTGCTGTTCACCTAGGGTGCCAATCGCTCTCACATTGATGTTTCTTGCTCCAAAAATCAACTTAAGAAACCTTTTTTTAAAAAAAGAGAGACCATAGAGTGATGATTTTATATTTAATTAGTTTTTCTCACTGGGAATAAAGGCTACCCACTCATAATGTGTTCATGTTTATTTTACTTTATTGGGGTGACATTGGTTAATAACATATATAGGTTTCAGGTGTACATTTCTATAATACATCACCAGTATAATGTATTGTGTGTCACCACCCAGTCAATAATGTGTTAATTCTTAGAAAGTTGATTGAAAATAGCAGCCTGCAGCCTTCTCAACTAATATAGAAACAAAATTCTAATTTCAAGAATAAAGTTTATTAATTTGGAAAAACACCAAAACATTTTTTAAGCACAGAATACAGGCATTCGCTGTATCAGAGCACGTTTTGTGTTGTGGTTGCCTACCTCTATTTTATTGTCTATTGCCAAACCCAAACATGGGTTATTTTAAAATCCAGCAATACTCTAAAATAAATAAAAACAACTTAGGCAGTGGGCCTCACTGTGGTAAATACAAATATAAAGAATTGCACTTTCTGAATTTACCACAATTTAAAAAAATTTAAGTGGGCAAATTGTAGGCTATGTGCATTGTGTCTCACTAAAACTGTTCAGCTGTATTTCTTTTTAACGTTAACCATTATACACCATGTCAAACACTGAAACTATTTTTGAACCTCTAAGGCAGTGGTTCTCAACCCGCCTAATGCCGTGACCCTTTACTACAGTTCCTCATGTTGTGGTGACCCCCAACCATAAAATTACTTTCGTTGCTACTTCATAACTGTAATTTTGCTACTGTTATGAATCGTAGTGTAAATATCTGATATGCAGGATGTATTTTCAGGGGTCGCAACCCACAGGTTGAGAACCGCTGCAAGGGAATTACTAAGATTACCGGTCCTGGCACAGTGTCTGGAAGGCAAATACTTTAAAAACAGATAGTTACTTTCTTTTTTTTTTTTTTTAATATATTTTATTGATTTTTTACAGAGAGGAAGGGAGAGAGATAGAGAGCTAGAAACATCGATGAGAGAGAAACATCGATCAGCCGCCTCCTGCACATCTCCCACTGGGGATACGCCCGCAACCCAGGTACATGCCCTTGACCGGAATCGAACCTGGGACCCTTCAGTCCACAGGCCGATGCTCTATCCACTGAGCCAAACCGGTTTCGGCAAGTTACTTTCATCTTATTAAAATGTTATTCAGCCCTGGACAGTGTGGCTCAGTTGGTTGAGTGTCATCCTGTACACAAAAAGGTTGCCAGTTCAATTCCCAGTCAGCGCTCATGCCCAGATTGCTGGGGCTCATCCCCTGGTAGGGGGTGTGCAGGAGGCAGCTGATCCATGTTTTGCTCTTACTTACACATTTCTCTTTCTCTCCCCCTTCCTTCCTCTCTCTAAAACCAATTTAAAAAAATTTTTTTTAATGTTAACAGTTTTAACACAAGAAGGGCAGGGGAAGAGTGAGTTAGTGCATCTGCATCTACATAGAAGGAAAATAAGCCCCCTTTAAAAGGGCAAATTTGCCCTAGCGGGTTTGGCTCAGTGAGTAGAGGGTACTGGGTATGATTCCAGGCAAGGGCACATACCTTGGTTGCAGGCTCCTCCCTGACCTGGGCCCTGGTCAGGGCTCATGCTGGAGGCAACCAATCGATGTTTCTCTCACAATGTTTCTCTGTCTTTCCCTCTCTCTTCCGCTCGCCCCCCCCAAAAAAAAGAAAAAGAAAAAGAAAGGAAAAATATCGAGTAAGGATTAAAAAAGAAAGGGGGGTGGGGGGGTGGGGACAAATTTCTCATCAGAATTGGGTCTTCCTTAAATTCTTGTCTTACTAATTCAGTTTTACATTTTAGATTACTTCTCCAGTTAACAAAGACAGGAGTTGATACAGCCTTGTAGAAGTCAATGTCTAAGTATTTACTAAGGGGAATAAGCTTCTGATTAAAAGAAAATTAAGTGCATCAGTTGAACCTAAAAATATTTATTTGTTCAGGCACCACACGGTATGTATCTCTTCTATGCACTGCAAGGAAGCAGCAACAGAGAGACCTGGTAAGACCTCAGGTATTTTCTATTATCAGCATGAGATCTCCTCCTGTCACACAATACAAAGAAATACTAGTAAGCACCTTGCCAAAATCTAAAAAGTAAGGCTGTTTAAATAAGTCCTAGACACTGTGGAAGTAATAAAGCCACCACCTTTGGAGACAGTAATACTGTGTTAATCACTTCAGATATAAATCACAAAGGATTTACTGTTTAAATATTTTTAAAATCCTTTTCCCACTT